CGGATACCACGGAATGGCCGGAACTCCTCACTAGCAACACCATTCCACTGCAGTTGCATCGTGGCTGACGTAACACACGCCATAATAGCCTCCACAAACTTGGTCGGGAACCCCACCAGCAGCAAAGTTTTGCGAATAAAATCCCATCGAAGATAATCGTATGCCTTCTCCAGATCCACTTTAATGATCATAAAACCCTTCTTCCCTTTCATACCACGCAACGAGTGGATAAGCTCTTGAGCTATAATAATATTATCAGTAATGTGACGACCCGGAACGACGCTCGCTTGAGCCGGGTTAATGAGCAATGGTAGAAGAGGCTTCATACGTTCAGCAAGCACCTTTGTCATAAGCTTATAAACTACATTGAGAAGGCTAATAGGACGGAACTGTTTCAAGCACACTGGATTCGCCACTTTCGGGATTAGAACAATAAGGGTACGATTGAGGAACTCCAGAACTCCCCCACCCCGCCATATATCCGACAACTGGGAGTAGACCGAAGGGCCCACGTGGTGCCACAGCTGCTAGAAAAACAACGCATGTAGACCATCCACCCCAGGAGCTTTAAGGGGAGCCATCTTCTTTAAAGCCGACCAAACCTCCATTTCTGTAAAATCACGACTCAACAGACGCATCCGACTATCCTCGACAGACGGAAACACATCCCCAATACGAAAGATAGGAGGCCTGGTTGATGGAGCCGTATAAATGGCTCTAAAGAACTCTACTGCCATCTGCTGCAAAGCAATCGGATCCTCAACAAGGTGGCCCTCTTCATCTTGGAGTACTGTAATTCTATTCATGCTACGCCGATGCTTCAGAAGACGATGATAATAAGCGGTATTTCTGTCACCAAATAAGGCCCAATCCCACCGGGACTTCTGAAGGAAAAGCAATTCTTCTTGCAAAAGAGTCTGGTCAAGCTCAGTTGTGAGCCGATGCTCCAACGGCCGTAGGAAAGGATTACCCTCGCCCCTACCCGAGCGTTGGATCCCCAGTATACGAGCCATCCAATGTTGTTTCCGACGGAAGATATTACCAAACTTCGTAACATTCCACTCCCGAGCCTTAGCCGAGAACTCCCCCACCGAGTGTTCGTATGAGCTACCCGTAGACCAAGTTCTCTCCACCACGCCATCAAACCCCGCATGGGTGAGCCATGCAACAAGAAACTGAAATGGTTTGACTCCAGGGGCACGCGCGGCCTTAACTGCTCGAACCAAAAGAGGAGTATGATCTGAATGCAGACGGTGAACGTGAAATACCATGCTGTCCAAAAGTCAACCCAAGCCTCATTCCCGATCCATCGGTCCAATTTCTCTGCTAAGCCGGTCCAGAACCAGGTCGGTTGGTCCCCATCAGTTCGAACTTCATGAAGATCGTTGTCAAAAATCCAATCAGCGAACGCCGAGCTAACATTACAATTAGTAAGCGACCCCTTCGCTTCTCGGACACACGGAGAAAGTAAATAAAATCACCACCCACAATCCAAGGACAGGAGATTTGCTGGGCCAAAACCTGCAACAAATCTCATAAAGACTGACGGAGCCGGGGTTTGGACTAGCATAAACAAAGGAGACCAGAAAAGAGGTCGAAGTTGTCTCGTCACGAATTCGAACATGGACATGTTGGCGTCTACATTCGATGATTTGGAGGTCCACCCCCTCCCGCCATAATACCCAGATACCACCGGAAAAACTAGTCGCCTCAACTCTGAACGAGCGATCATAACCACTACGACGGATAAACCTATCTGCTCCCATGCCGCTGATTCGCGGCTCAAACAACGCAAAAACATCAGGCTTAAATTGGGTCTTGAGTTCCAAAAAGGCTCGCCTAAATTCATCAGACGCAGCCCCACGTACATTCCAAGATGCTAAATTTATAATTATACAACAAGAAATGAAAAGGGTAACCATGCCCCTCTAACCGAACACGGGACTTGCGTCCCATCCCCCTCTGCCATATGCAAATCCTGGTTTGCATCTGTTGTGTTGTCATCTGACTCCTCACACGCCTGGGCCGCCTCCATGTAAGACAACTGTCGGGGGTGAGCCGACCTATCCACCAGCATCCGCGGGTCTCCAGTATCCAAAGGTTCCACCTCCATGTCGGATGGCGGCGGAGGAGGTGTATCCAAGACTTGAACTACTAGGTGTTTCGATGAGTCCAATGACGAGGCCACCGACACCACCACCGGCGAGGTAAAGACCAAAGGCGCCCGCTGCCCCATGCTTGCAGTTACCATAGGTGCCCCTTGAGCCATCAGACGAGGGCTTGAAGTAACAACCCCTTGACCTTGCTTAGCCCATCCCGCAGAACTCTGCCCCACGACCGCTTTCCCCTTCTCAGGCCGAACAAATGAACCAGCCGAAAACCCCATGTGAGTCTTTTTGAACCCAAATCCCCCGCCGACAGAAGAAGCCCTCTGAGCTAGAATAGACTCGGTATGCTCCTCCTGGAGCACATTGAACCGCGAGCCATGAACTGGCGGGGCCTCATTTCGCTGTTTAGAGGAGCGACACCCCCTTTCTTAGGCACAATATTTTGTCGACCACTTGCATTACCCTAGTCTTAGCCACTAACCAGGGGCCGTAGACACCATTTCCAGTAGATTTCGAGTGCGCACTCCTGTTGTTCGGCCGAATAGCAGTAGTTGGCCCCGAAAGACCTCCACTCACACCCTCCCTAACATCCCTTTCTTGTCCACCCGGAACCTCGACCCCCGACGTCTCCCCCTTGCCCGAAGGGGTGCATTTAGAACAGGTCTCCGCTACATGGCCGTAGACTCCACAGTTGAAATAGATATGCGGTAAGAACTCATACTCCACCCACTGGACCTTCCCCCGGATAGAAAAGCTGGCGCACAGAAACTTAGTCAAATCCAAAACCACCGCTAGACGTGCATACTTCCCCGCGCCTGAGAGGCTGTTTGATGATCTACTTTCAACACCTTGCCAACAATCTCCCCAATCGTTCGGAAAACCTTGGTATGATACAAGTCGACAGGCATCCCCGACAAGCGGATCCATATTACCTGCGACCGGACCTGGTTACAAGACGCGTCAAACTCTTCACTCCAAAGCTGGACGAAACTTTTGATATTGTTTCGACACAACCCACGGGCCACCTACGAGGACGCGCTCCGCATCAACCTTAGTATTGAATCGGATTTGAAAGTAGCCATTCTCTAAATCAATCATATCGCATCCACTCATGAAGGGCTACGGATTGCACAATTTGATGTACAACAGCTGATGTGAGAATACCGTGCCCATCACCTTAATCACAACCACATGCCGCCAGGAAAACAAAAGCTGATCATAGAAACTATCTTTGAAGCGAATGTCCGGAAGCGGCCCTTGACGATCGATTATCACCTTATCGTCCTCCCCCTCCTCACCATTATCGTCATAGACCATCTCAACGTGAGTCGGGCTGCGATTAAGCATATCCCTAAAACTGGGACCCCCTTGCGTCGTAGCCGCCCGTAACACCTCCTGGTAGGGTTTCTTATCGCCACCACTAGATTGATTTCAACGACGGAAAGTCCGAACTCCGTTGATCGGGAGGATCAGATTTCAAGTCGTCCGGTGGATGTCGTGCTGTTACCGGCGAAGTCATTGCCCTAGTTTTTTTGTGGTATCTTGGAAATTACATATTCTAACAGAAAGGGTAAAAAATGATTGGAATGTAGACATCAGAATCATCAAATTTCATCTAAAATTTCAATGAAAAACTTATTTCTTTTTTTTTAGCCAAACCACATCAAATATGATATATAAAATTAAAAAATGTACAACCGTGTAACCAACGGGTTACAATTATACCTCATGAGCATCACAAGTCTCTGCTCAAGAGATTACAGAAGACACTATATCTAGTTCCCCTAAGGAGCCACTAAGGCCTCCTAACAAAACAAATCAAAAAAAACTTATTTCAACATAATATTTTGTTGAAATTTAGGTTGGTATCATTCCAACGAAAATTATACCATTATAATCGTTAAAATTTTATTAAAATATATTACAATATGATTTTCTGTTGTACGTAACATTTTTATTGTAGTGCGTTTTAACTTTTGAACAAGAATATAAATATATATGTTATTTTTAATGATGTCGACTAGTAGTGGATTTGTTGATTAGTTTTTATTTGTAGCTTCTGGCCACAAGTATATAAAGCAAATGGCATTTAAGAATATTATGATAAATGAAATCTGTGGCGATTGAATACTATTTTTTTTTTTTTCTAGTTTATTCAATTGAAAATAAAAATATATATAATTTTTTTTACAAAAAGAAAGTAATACTTATTTTATTTCACTTTTTTTATAATCCCACTAACATAACTAATAATTACAAAATAATAATTATTGTTATTATTACTATCCAACAATGTCTTCGAAGATTACATTACAAGACCCTTATAGCGAGAATCCGAAGAAGAAATGGAGTTTAGTGCAGCAGCTAAGTCACCAGAGTTCACCAAGCAGCAGATTGTAGTCCAGCCTACTTTTATCTTACATACAATCATAATCTCCAATGCAGTGACTAAATCTTTGAACGAATATACTACAAAAGGACTCAAGCTTCTGTATAATCTTGCCGGGAAACTTGATTCCGTGAAGAAAAAAAAAAAAGACAAACAACCTCGTAACTCGTAACCTACTTAGCAGAACAAACCATGAAAATGATACAAGACCTTTAAGAAGAAGGCAATATCAGCTCAACATTCTCAAATCGCCTTCCATTACTGTTTGATCTCTTAAACACCAGTGTATTTCCTAATGCTTTAACCATTACATACATTAACACTGCCAAAATATAATCTCATTGCCCATTTCCCACCTGTCCAGCTTTCATAGTCAGTCTAAGCCAAAGTACTCGGGCAGTGGAACACCAGATCAGGCTCTCTCATCTACTTTCCGTCCAATAAAACCCGTGCACTATTATGGCTGATTCAATCCCAAAGCAGATGAACAATACCACCAGATTCTACGACTGGTGACAGAAGACCCCAGTACATGAAAAATCACTGTCCACAACCCACATGTCGAGTTCTGTTAGTTTCCTTCGTACTTTATCCAGTTCCTCTTCAGAAGACCAGAATATAAATTTATTTTTCATCCTCACCAAAGTCCGGTTAGCATGGACAACGCTGATGTCAAAAGCAAGCTGCATATCATCAACACTGCTAACTTTTACTTTCTGCTTGTTTAGTATTTTCTCAGTTGCATGGAAAATAACTGAGTCGTGAGAAACTGAATCTTTTATTAGTGGATCCACTAGTGAAGCAATATCGTACAAGGAATTGTCGTTCCAAATCTTAGAAGCAGATGACGAGCCCCTGAAAAATAGAAGTTGAGTACTCTTCCCAAGATAAAAGTCACTTGAACGGTCAAAGGAATCGAGAAATGAGTCACCACTTATCGGAATCGTGCTAGCATCTAGCAACCATGTATCGTAACCTAGTTCGAGACTCTTTTTCGCAGCATATGCCTTAACTAGAGTCTCTTTGATCAGCTCCAAAGTCGAAACTTGATAATTAATGGACTTGGCAAGCTGACTAAAGTCTAAAAACTCGCTTGCATCTACTACTGGATTTCCCCTTCTAGCAAGATCGAGAAGAAAATCCGAAGTCGGGCCGATTAAGAGATAGTTCTGTATGTTCAGCTTCTCAAAGTGGCAGAGAATATTCCTTATAATCATTTCCGGCTTTCTGTACACACTCAATAGTATAATAGAGTTGTTTTTCTGTACAGTTTCAATGATGGATTCATAGTCATTCGAGCTCCTCACAATTCTATTGCGGAGTACTTCCCTAAAACAGAAGTCATACCACTTGAGACTGTTCAGAGGGTAAAGATCCATCAAGTTAAAATCAATAGAGCTTTCATCCAGTAAGTATGAATCTGGCCCTGCTGTTTTTCCATAATTCACACCAGCGTCCCTATGAGAGATGCTGAGTGCCCTCTCATGAAGAAAATTAGTATAGATATTAAAGTACCCACGAGAATGGATGAATTTAATAAACCAGGGGGTCCAAATTTTCTCGCCAAGCTTGTTGTACCATCCGGTTGTCACCTAAAAACCGTCACAAGTCATTGTTAGTTCAAAGGAAGAAAAAAGCAGGCTATAAAAACTATTACTCAGGTTAGCCTAAATACCAACAAACCTCGACCGAGCTTATTAGAACTAGAAGAACATTTGTAACTTGAAAACATAAATGAAGCTTTTGTAATAGGCAGAACATTCACGATAGATATGTAAAATAATAGGATTTAAATAAGCTGGATGCTTATTATCAATTTAGGAACAGAGAAAGGAAAAGAAAAATAGTGGTAATCAACAGACATACCATTCCATCTAAGAACGGCCTCATGCCTTTAGCTTTGTGTATGTCATACCACAGTCGAAACTCTTTCCAGGGTCTTGGAAAGAGAAGCTGGCCCCAGGTGCCAACTAGCTGGTACAAGAAAATCCTAGCTTCACCATCTAAGTGCATCTTGTTTCCATGTTTACCTGTTAGAAACCAATGTTAACAATAGGGTCGAAGATTAAAGCCCTCGTAGCCACAATTTTCCAAATCTATTCTGTTGTATGACCAAATCTTAATTTCATGCATGCACATATTCAGGTTTGCACCATTCTGAATATTCTATTTGAATTGTTCATTTATCTTTGTAACACTCACTCCATGTTATACCTTACAATCTTCCCAGTAGTTACCACAACTTAAACTTAACAGGCGAATTTAGAATCATCTCCAGCTTCAGCACATAGATGATCCAGCTGTCTTCTATTAAGGCAATCTTTGAACACAATGTACACATCAACTGGAGTACAACCCGCATGCGTTTGAGCATAATACTATTAAACAAAAATAAAACATCGCAAACCGCAACTTTTAGATCCAGGCATACTCTTATAGTCTTTATGGTAAAACCAAAAGTATATCCAATAAGCCATAAAAACCCAAGGCACATAGAAACAGAAAACAAATACAATACCTGGCACAAATCTAGGCCTTTGCAATGATGCTCCAAATATGGAAGGACTAAAACTTGATGCATTATAATAATAATTCAATATCACAGCTTTCAGGAACCTACAAAAGAAATAAATATCACATTACTTTTTCATGTTCCAACTCAAGCTGTTAATCTTACAAAGCATAAAAATCATCAAAAATCATGCAGCACACGAATAAAGGAAGAATTGAAAAAAAAAAAGAAAGAAAGAAAATGTTGGACAAAAAAACACCACCATTTTCTTGGTATGGAATTAATATTTTCTATGACCAATAACTTTAAGCTACAAAAACAATGTTATTGAATAAACAAAATCTGAAACAGCCTCATACATACAGTCATACTACTAACTGACTTGCAATCACATGAGTAGCTCAAAACAATGTCATCACCCCACAAACAAACCAACAAGAAACAGAAAGACAGAAAAGGAAACCTATAATAAAGAGGAGAAACCTCCAGATCATCCTCAACGACGAAAGCAAACTCATGATCGGAGGCGGGCCACCACGCCTCAAGCCACTGGGCCTGAAGCCCAGCGTTGGAAGTCCTATAATGCACCAACTTCTCTCCAAATTCCCAGCCAAAGCCATCCACGAAATCAACGATCCGCTTGGAGAGTTTCAGCTTCTGATCCAAATCGACAGAGTCAGTTTTCTGGGGATCTTGCTGGAAATGGTCGATGAATATGTGGAGATGAACTTTATCGCCGGCATCGTAGCGGGCTTTAGAGAGAGAGTTGAGACACCGGGAGAGAGAAGAGAGCCGGTTGAAGGTGAGGACTTTGATGATGAATGTTAAGTTCGGGCCAGGGTTCGGACCGGGAATTTTGTGGAATCGGGTCGGGATTTGGGCCTTCGGAATGGATAAAAGGGAAAACAGCACGAGAGAAGAGACGGAGAGGATGGTGAAGTAAAGCAGTGGGCGAATTTGTTTGGAAGGCACTGGCGCCATGGAAATCTCTGCTACGGTGATCTCATTTCACAGTGGAGCTGTGTTCGTGTGTGAGAAAAGTGGCAGAAATCAAATTATGAAAACAGAAAGGGGGTGTCTATATGTACACCCCCTTGTGTGTAAAAAAGGGGTGTACATATAACATTGCCATTTGTGTAATTTATTAAAAAGGGGTGTACATATAGCATTGCCCAAACAGAAATAGTTCCGACTCAAAAGCCCCAAACAAATTTGATCCTGTTCAGAGCCCAAACAAGTTCTAGACCCTTCTTTTTTTTTTTTTATTCCAAACGATAGAAAGCTCATATAAATAAGGCCGAAGCCAGAATAACAATATCCAAATACAACACGAAACGACTACAGAAGCAGTGAGAGAACCACACACATGTGGCCTAAAATACAACCAAACCCAAAACAAGAAAAAAAAAACGAGACCAAGAAACCGGGAGATAAAGCAGTAGACAATACACTGGACCTTTATCCCTCCTAACAAGAACCTGCCCACAGAAAAACAAACCCTCACATACTAGATATAGGACCAAACAGAACCACCATCACCTATTATGCTGCAAAAAAACTTCCCAATCATGAACTGCAACTCTGACTATGGCTGGAGGAGGTCTTCTCACTTGTTCAAACACCCAGAGATTCCTCGACTTCCAAAGCCACCATAATATATATGTTGACAATTGTATCCTAGCTTCAGAAGTTTCCATTTTGTCCATTTGGCATACCTGCCACCACCAGTCCTTGAAAGTCTCATTCTCTTTTGGCCCTTCCCACCTTACTGGAGCCATTTTCCAAACTGCTTGAGCAAGAGAACAATGGAACAACACATGCACAATAGTTTCTACATGTTCCCCACAAACCTTGCAAATAGGATCCACTGTTATACCTCTGGCTCACAGATTTTGATTAACAGATAAAGCACCATTACAACATCTCCAAATAAAATGTTTCACTTTCCCCAGCACCTTTAATTTCCAGCTCCTATCTCTAACTTTGGCCTCAGTCTTAACACTCATGCTACTTTGAGCTTTTGCCTGCTTCAGAACCTTGTCAGTGATCAACCTAGCATAAGTAGCTTTCACAGAGAACACACCTTTCTTGCTCACAGTCCACACCCAATCATCTGCTTGAGAGGGATCTAATGTTTCAATATTTAGGATAGCCCTGCAGAATTTTGGAGAGAATGTATTCATCACCTTGGTTTCATTCCATGCTCTTCCATCCTCGGTTAGCAGATTTTTAACCCACACCAATCTCCTGTCCATCCCTTCTACCAACTCCACAGGCTTGCCTAAGAAATCAGGGATCCAATGTTGGTCCCAGATCTTAATGCTGCTACCATCTCTAACCTGTCTTCTCATCCATCCCCCATATTCCTCAAGAACAGCCAACCAGCTATTCCAAAGCCATGAAGAGTTCTGCTTTCTCTGAGCTTCAAACAGATCAGTAGTAGGAAAATATTTCATTTTAAGCACTTTGCTCACAAGCCTGTCAGGTTCTGAGACAATCTTCCACAGTTGCTTGGCAATGAGAGCCATATTGAACAATTGCACATCCTGAAATCCCAGCCCTCCATGAGCTTTGGAAACTGTAAGTTTATTCCACTCAACCCAGTGCATACCTCTGCTAAACTCTGAGCCCTTACTCCACCAAAACTGACCACAAATGTTGGATATCTCTTTACAGATCCCAATAGGGAGTACAAAACATGACATTGCAAAGACAGGTAAAGCATTAAGCACAACCTTTATAAGAATTTCTTTACCTGCAGCTGAAAGCCATCTATTCTTCCAATTACAATCTACTCCTCACCATTGTAATGATGTAATCAAAAGCTTCTTTTTTGGATTTCCCAATCCCAAGTGGCAGTCCCAAGTATCTGGTGGAAGAGTGCCTTGTGATACCTCTGAATTTAGTGAGTCTCCACAGATGCATTTTTGCTGAAGAACACTGTTGACTTGCTCATACCCACCTGCTGTCCAGAGAACTCATGGAAATCATTGAGAATATTAAGGATCAGCTCTGCTTGCTCTTCATCTGCCTTACAAAGCACCAAGGTGTCATCTGCAAACATAAGGTGAGTAAGAGTGGGGCACCCTTTAGCAAGCCTCATCCCTCTGAACCTACCCTTCTCAGCCTCATCTTTAATCCTCACAGACAACAATTCAGAAATTATGAGAAATAAATAAGGAGACAGAGGATCCCCTTGTTTGATTCCTCTAGAAGCAGAAACATACCCACTGCACTTGCCATTAATATTAAAAGAAAAGGAAGGGAATTGAATGCAAGCCATAATCCATTTTACAAACAATCTGTGAAACCCCATCCTGATCATAGTAAGTTGCACTGCTTTCCATTCTGCACAGTCATAAGCCTTCATAATGTCTAACTTTAGAGCCATAAAGCAGTTCTTACCACTCCTGTGCCTATTCAGATAGTGACAAACTTCATGCCCAATGACCACATTGTCGAGGAGCTGCCTACCAGGCACAAAGGCACTCTGATTCTCAGAAATACAGACAGAAAGGCAATCTCTCAATCTACTCGCCAATATTTTTGAAATGATTTTATAGAATACAGTACACAAACTGATAGGTCTAAACTGAGTAACAGACATACGGTTAGGACATTTGGGTATCAAAGTGATCAAAGAGTGTTTCCAGTACCTCAACATTTGTCCTGAAGTAAAAAAAAAAAAACTCTGCACATCATGGCATATATCCTCCTTCACTATGGGCCAAAAATGCTGGTAGAACTAGTCATCCCATCTTCTCTCGGAGCCTTCTCAGGATGAATGCTAAAGACTGCCTGCTTTATATCATCTTCCTCCACAGGTCCAATAAGACCTTTGTTCATATCCTCTGTAATTGACTGGGCAATAAGAGGCAAGAATTTATGGCCACTGGCAGATCCATTAGAAGAGAACAGCTTCCCATAAAACTCTGTGATAACTTTTTCAATACCATCCTGCTCCTCTACAAGACTCCCGTCTGATTCAACAACTTATCAATGGAATTCATCTTCCTCCTCTGAGAAGTGAAGGCATGAAAAAACTTCGTATTTCTGTCACCTTCCTTCAACCACAAAACCCTTGCCTTCTGCTGCCAAAACAATTCTTCCTCACCATTAGCCTCATCTAACTCCTTTTTAATTTTGTCCCATGTTTCCCAATGCCTATCACCCCCCCCCCCCNNNCTCCTGCCTCATTTCTTCAAGCTGCAGAGTAAGATTTGAGATCCTCTGATTATTTTGGGAATGAAAGTACCTGCTCCATTTTAATAATGCTATCCTGGCCTGCTTGGTTTTCTCCTTCAATGCAAACATAGGAGCTCCAGTGGCCGACTTCTCCCAAGCCTCCCTAACAATATCCTGAACACCTTCTTTAGCTATCCACCTCTTATCAAACACCTTCTAAATGAGGAAATTGCATCCTCCACCACAAAGATTTTTATTACATATTTGGAACTCATATATCTTTATTTGTAAATTTACCAAAATTATGATTTTTATTTACAAACTTACTAGATTATTGATCAACATATAATTAATTTTAATTATGGTAAAAACAAATTTAATGGGAGCTATAATTGCGTGCAAAATTTACCAAAATTATGATTTTTATTTACAAACTTACTAGATTATTGATCAACATATAATTAATTTTAATTATGGTAAAAACAAATTTAATGGGAGCTATAATTATCACGCTTTTTCTCTCGTCCTATCTATTCTTCTTCTTCTATCTCTCTATTCTTCGTCTTCTTCTTCTTCTAATGATAGGCTTCAAATTAACTGTGAGATCAGACAAAACAATCTCATAAATTCGCACAATTTCATCTGTGCTCAAGGGAAAAACGACCCCACCATTAAAAACCCTAAGTTTTTCCTCTCTCTCCTTCACCATGGTTCGGAATCAATCGAGGATTTCATCCCGACACCATCGCCATGGATTTGCAAATGTTTATTTTCGTTTTCCTTTTATCATTTTTCCTTGTGAGAAATTTTTGTTGTTCTTATTCTGGTTTATTTGTTTGTTCACTAAATTATTAGGTTTGTAATTTTTGGTGAGATTAGTGATGTTTTTGGTTGTTGGCTTTGTGATCATATGCCATGAATTTCTTGAACTTCGTATATGATACTATTGTCTGTGAACAATTGATTAGCTAATTTGTATGGTGACATTGAAATTATTTCAGATGACTATAACTGCTGCTTTGGGGAAGGCCCTCGGTCCCGGCAGGAGTACTCATCTACATGTAGGCGACGCGAGAATCGGTTTATATGGAGTCGACGAGAGAGAAGATGAATATATTCCGAAGCATGATTTCCTCAATTGCCGCCGGCGACGGCGTCCTCTAAAAAGAGTTTCGGCGTCGCCACAATCGGGGGGATTTGATTGGTTGGTTGCATGGAATTTGAATTTTGCTTTGCTTTTTTAGGGTTTTGGATTGTGTGTAGATTAGTCATTACGTTGAAATTCGTAGACATTGGATTGGAGTATATGTACAGTATATGTTTGGTATATGCGATACCTTTTATTGTCATTTTTTATGTTACGTCTGGTATATGCGATACCTTTTTGTTGTGTTTTTTTATTATCCAATGGTTTATTTCTGCTATATATTTGGTATATGCGATACCTTTTTGTTGTAGTTTTTTTTATGTTACGTTTGGTAGATTTGTTTTAGTCATTTCTATCTTAAACCAAACAATATATTGTTGAACATAAAGATAAAATATACTCAACATAAACCAAAAAATATACTTATACTGAACATATAAAAATAAAATGTTGAACATAAACCAAACATATTAAAATTACGCAATTTATTTCTATGAACAAATACCAAAATATAATGCACATATACATTCTCTGTGACGTGAAATATACTCCAAAATTGTGAGTGATTAGTGAAATATACATACTGAACATAAATCAAACAATATATTGTTGAATATAAACCCCAAATAAACTAAATATAAAGATAAAA